AAATATCTTTACTCTAAGTTTAAAAAAATTTTGGCACAGCTTTTATTTTGATAATGTTTTGAATTTTTTTTGAAACTTTGAGTGAAGATATCTCAACAATCACCAAATCAAATTCAATAAAATTTTTTTTCTTTGAATTCTATGAATTTATAGAATTCAAATAAAAAAAGTTTATCGAATTTGACTTGGAGATTGTCAAGATATCTTCGTTCAAAGTTTGAAAAAATTTTAAAAATTTTGATTTACAGGTAAATATTGCATGGATTTCTATTGGCTGCTGCATATCAATAATTTATTTGTCAATTGATCTGCACAATCCCAGGACTGTCAGATCAATAGTTGCCCTGCTTTAGACAACCCCCTAATTAGGAATATAACTTTGTTGTTTGTTGTTTGTTGTTGTTATTTAGTCAGTCATGTGTTCTCTTTCTGTTTTTCAAAGTCAAACTTGATTTTTCAAACTTTCAAATTTTATACTAAAAAGAAAGAAAATATTTTAAAGGCAAATTTAGTTTGTTAGAGATACCTCTTCTGTTATTATACTTCTATTATTGTTTATGTATTTCTGAACATAAACTCTTTTTCCTTAAAGACCCAAGGACTGTTTTCTATTCTGTTTTGGTCATATTTTGTGTTTTTTGTTTCTGCTCTACTTGGAATTAGAGATCAGCAGAAAGAGTTGTAATTATTATTCCATACTTTTTATAATTTAAATCTACTAATTTATTTGTTTTTAATTATATAATTATTCTATTTAAGGTTCTATAATTTTTTTAAAAACAATATAATCTTTTTTACTAAAATACAAAATTGCTATATATTTTTTTTTTTTAATATTAAGATGAGTACTTGTGACCCAGAATTTTATTAATAGTATATTTGGTTAATAGTTGCATTACAACTACAGAAGACAATTATAAAAAGAGTATATAACTAGCCATTTGTACAACTTTAGTCAATATCTAATTTAAGTAGTCTGTTTGAAAATTTTATACTAGCTGCCATATCTAAAACTTGCTTGTAGGTTTTCTATTTAAATATTCTAGTTTCTGTATTTATTTATCTACTTTTGTCTACCAATGCTCTGACTGATATTAGTAAAAATATGCCATGATCACTAAGTCTTTAAAGCAGTTTATTTATATAAATAACTTTTGATCTTGTACTAAATCTTACAGAATCTTCTGTATCCTATTCTTATAACTAACCTAATATTACTATAGCTGAGACTAACATTTATAATTAGAACATACTATTGAACTGTTATGCTTTTGTAGAGTTTATTCTAATCTTAGTACTAACTTTACAACATATTTCTACTAATTTGGTATTTAATTCAAGGTTTATCAAGCTTTAAACCAGATAGCCTAAAGAGGTTAATTATAACTATATACTTTTAGTTTATATGTTCTCTGATATATAATCTTTTCTTCTAAAATGAGTTCTGATGGCCTAGTTGGTTCTATTTAGTCTCTTCTTAAAGGCTGGCTTTTTGTCTAGCTTTACAAATTCTAGCTTCATTTTATAAGTTTAGTTTTTATAATAGCATTGTCAAAAGTTTAGACTATTTCCCTATTTAGATTTTTTAAATAGGCTTCTGTTTTCCTACCTGGTTTCTGTGATTTATACAGTCTAAGAACTTATTATAGGTTCACATTACCTAGTATCAGTTTGTGTTTCTTTGTACAATATTGTACAAATGTCTAGACTTTCCAGTCATGCTAATATAATATAAGTTATAGATATCTAATCCTAATTAATCATAGAAGACAGTAAATTATAATAAAAAAAAAATTACAAATTTTTACTATTACTAGAATTTGAACTCTAGACCTGCTACTTGAAAGTTAACAATCTGTTTACTTCACTAGATTATTATATTCTAATTGCTATATACTAATATTTAGCTTTATAAGTATTTATAATATTATTTAATTTTTTTTAATATCACTATTAACTTTTTATTTGACTAAAAGATTATATAAATTTATATAACAGTTTATTTTGTATAAAGAAATACAAACTGGTAACAGGTAGTATACTTATAATAAGTTTCTATAATTATATAAATTACAAGAATCAGGAAAACAAAAAACTATTTAAAAAATCTAAGTAGAAAGATAGTTTAAACTTTTAGCAATATTATTATAAAAACTAAATTCATGAAATAAGCTAAAACTAGTAAAGTTAGATAAAGATACAGCCTTTAAGAAGAAACTGTTATAACTAGCCAAATTTGTTTTAATAAAAAAGATTATATATTAAAGAACATATAAATCAAAGATATAATTATATTTATCTTTCTGAACTATCTAAATTAGAAATTTAGTAAAACTTAAATTGAATATCAAAGTAGTAGAAAAATATTATAAAGTAAGTATCAAAATTAAAATAAATTTTACAAAAGCATAGTAGTTTAATAGTATGTTTTAACTACAAATATTGATCTTAGCTATAGCATTACTGAGTTAGTTATAAGAATAAGATATAGAAAATTCTATAAAATTTAATACAAGGTTAAAAGTTTTTTATATAAGTAAACTGTTTTAAAAACTTAGTAACTATAGCATATTTTTACTAGTATTATTTAGAGTTATTAATAGATATAAATAAGTGAGTAAATATAGAAACTAAAGTATTTAAATATAAAACTTATAAGAGATTTCAGATATGGCAACTAGTATAGAACCTTCAGATAGACTACTTAAATTAAATAATAACTAAAGTTATATAAATAACTATTTGTATATTTTTTTTATAATTGCTCTTGTAATTATATATAACTATTAGCTAAATATATTATCAATAAAATTCTGAATTACAAGTACTTATCTTAATATTTAAAAAAAAAATCAAATTTTCATTTTTATATAATAGTTTAAAATTTTTTCAATTAACTTAAATAAAATTAGTATTTATTTTTTTTTTGATATTAAGATGACTTTTTTAGTCTTTAACTTTATTAATACTTTTTGAATAATATAATTCTATAATAATTATTATAAGAAAAATATACAACTGGTTACACATATAAATTTTATATGTTATCTATTTAAAGAGTTATTTAAGAGTTCTTTACTAGTTGTTATATCTAATATCTTTGCTTAGATGTTTTATTTAAACTTTCTGAATTTATAATTTATATTAACTTTATTAAGTTATATCTAGATCATTGTTTCAACTTTAAGACTAATTTATTCTTAAGATAAATTTTTTGAAACCTTTTGTATTTCTATTTATAGTTGACTCAAACTCATTATGATTGAACTAATATTTACAATTAAAACTAACTATTAAACTGTTATACCTTTATAGTGTAAACAGGTTGGGACAAGACTATTAGCTACTTGGTTAAATGATCAAAAGGATTTATTGAACAAACTAGTTATTACAAGAATTATAAGTATATTGCTTTTATATCTTTTCTTCTTTGACCTATTCTATTACAATTACTAATGCAGACTATAAATTACTACATAATTCATGCAATGCTATTACCTTATATTAAACTATACTAAATTACTACATAATTTATGCAATACTATTACCCTACATTAAACTATACTAACTATTACTTTAAATTAATTAATCAATTAATGATAGCATAATTCATGCATCAGAAGTTACTTGAATCAGGAAATTACTTGGATCAGGATCAGGCAGTTCTGAGTCATGGCACCAGTCACGGACTTGCATCATAGTCTTGAATGTAAGTGGCTTGGGTCACAGTCTTGATTGTGAATGGCTTAAGTCATGGCTTTAACTCTTGATCACAGTGACTTGAGTCATGATCTTGATCATGTTAGCTTGGGTCATGACTTTAACTGTTACATATAGAGTTTATATAGTCTTAATGTTCTTTTTATAATCTTATTAATATTTTGTTTATTTTTACAAATTCTTTTATATTACTAATTCAGTAAATTTTATATGATACAACTTTATATTTAAATTAATTGATAAACAGATTAATAAACCTCTTTTATCTAAGTATTCTTGTTTATACAAGTTATTTGTTTTAGATTTTCTTTTTTAAATCAAGATTTTTACAGATAATACTGTTAAAGATTATATTATCTTTTTATTTGAAATTTCTAAACAAGGCTTTTTATAGAGCATATACTTTTTAAATTTATTTATATAATATTGTACACTTCTAAAATTAGTTTTAATATAATCAGATATCTTGTTCAAGTTGTCAAAATAAAATTATTTTTAAAAATTCTGTTACTAGTAAGATTTGAACTCTGAATCTACTGTTTAAAAAATAACAATCTAACCATTGTACTAGAATCACTATTCTCAAAATTAACATTTATAATAAGATTAAGTTTTCAAAAAATAATAATAAAATTACTTAAAGAATTTTTTTTTATTAGAGTACAAAAAGTGGTTTCTTATATAAGTTATTTAAAAAAATAAGTAATTTTTAAAAAATAATGTTTTGGTTTTGATCTTCTGATTATGTAATGTTATATTAAAATAAAACTTACTATTGGATAATCATTATATGAAAGTAAAAATTTAAGGATAATACTAGAAAAGTTGTATTATTTAGAACTGTATAAATGATTATTATTTGTTTTATTCTGTGCTTTATATTTTATCATCAAAAATGCAAACATGAATTATTGATTTCGAATTAATAATAAAGATCAGAAAGTAAAAAAAGCAGAATATCAGTAATTCTTTTATATTTTATTTATTAATATACTTCAAAACTTTCTTCTCAATGTTCTGATCATTAATATTTACATATAGAAATAAGATTGTTTTTTCTAGCAGTTATTAAATTGTTATATAAGCAATGTTAAAAAGTTGAATTAAATTATACAAAACTAATTTCTTAATTTTTGTAATACGTACAATAATATAAAATTTTAAGAATGATAACCCTATAAAAATTTTTATATTAAGAATTATCCAAAAGTTTTTTATAATAAAGGTTTCAGAATTAAAAATTAAATTTTTGTATTTTAATTCTAAAACATTTAATAGGTCTACATAACAAACCAAACTGTTATAAAAACCAAGAGGTTAATTATATATAGTCTGATATTAGAAAAAAATCGCACCTCTTACCCATAATGATTTTAGATGTACCTAAAATATTAATAGGAAGTTTATCATATATTAATTCGTTGATTCTTTTAATAATATTTGAAATATCATGTTCTCTTGGTAATTTAAGTTGTAATGATGCTAGTTCTTAATAAGTATCGTGGGATATTGGTCCTTGATCGATTACTTTTACTATTAAATTTAGAGGCCTGTTTTCTTTTTCATTTTTGCACAAATAACATTTATTTTAAACTTTAAACCTAATTTCTTGTAAAATTGGCTGATCAGATGAATGATAAAATTTAGAACTTCATTTCCAAAGGCATTTCTTAGCTGTACAGAAAATGAATGTAAACGTTTTAATTTCATAAATTCACTTAAAATATTAAATAGTTTAGAAGGATGATATGGCTTTTTTTAATATTCTTCGTTGACTTCTGTCAACTCAATTTCAAACTTTATGAAGAATACAAGCCATAGAAGTTTAACCATTTTTAATAATGCTTGTGATGTAGTGATAGGTTTTTAATAACGGCTTTTTTTATATTGCAACTTATTATACGTAACAGTTTGTTGTATAACAAATTTGTTATACAATAGTGCAATTGTTGTCTAACAGAATACAACAGTAATATAATGGTTGTATAATTGTATAACGGCTAAAAATAATTGCTTATAACCTTTATAACATTTTAAAATAATGGTTTTGTAATGACTATGTAAAGGCTATGTAACGGCTTTATAATAGCTTTATAATGGTTTTGAGTATTCGAGTTAATTCAAATATTTAATACGAATTGATTCGAATATTCAATTATTCTAATATTCGATTCCAACCTCTAGTACCATCCCCACAGTTTTTTAAAGAAAACGGTCATTTCCGAGAAAATCCCTCCGCCGTTAATTTTCAAGTTCGGTGTCACGGGATTAGGCCGTGGCTTATAACCAGTGTCAGGTTTCTTGGGCAAAGCATATTTAATAGTGGCTTTTTTAAACCCTAATGAAGGATCGATAAGTGTAAATTGTGCGCCAGATGCGGTCGAGTGTGTCGTAGAAGTCTGAGAACTGACAACAGGTTCTTGGGTGGTGGATTGTTGAGCTGACAAAGAAGTCGTCGCTACCTCACTAATAAATAAAAGCGATCAGTTTGGATAAACGAATTATTGCTAGTTAAGATAAATAATCTTACCTAGTCTGATTAGCATGTATATTTTGTGAAGTTTGTGTAGCAATTTCAGTACGGGTTGATGGCATGCCCCGCTGTGTCAAAATGCTCGGTCCTTCATCATGAATATTTGTTTCATCCTGATATTTATTTTGCCTCATACTATGGTACATAGAATCACCTGCTAGCAAGGCCCTCTCACGGGCTTCATCATTTTCAACGGCGATCTGGTTAACAATGTCTACAATGCTGAGACTTGGATTAGCGAGAGTGCGCTCTAAAATTTCATCTTGTGAAATTCCCACGTTTTTGGGTACGTTTCTAATTAATAAATTTTTATAAGATTTATATCCATCTTGACTAAAATAATTTATAATAATTTATTGTATACCTGCGAAAATAAGGTTCAATCTCCATCCTTCGATATTTTCTACCAATAGACTATATATTTTAATCAGAAGATGCAGAATACTTTAAATGTTATTAATGTAGTTTGTTTACTAACTTTGGAATTGCTTAGGATCATCGGTTCAAAGAATTTCGTTTTTTGTGGCCCTAAAGCTTGACGAAAAAGCAATACACGATTGCAATCTTGACAAGAATGAACATGACCGCAGGGATAGCATTTGTGCACTGGCTCATAAGTTTGTTGCCCATATGCGCGTCCAGTAGGAACAAGTTGTAATTGTGCGGCTGAGCGTACAGTAAAACCATTGGTCTGGTTTAAATTCATAGTTTGCTGAGGTAAAAAACTTGAATTCGCAAGAGTCCTATTTGGATTCGATAACTGGTTTGATACTTGTGATGTTATTCCGTGACTCGGTTGAGTCGAATTAATAATCTGATTTGAACTTGGTAATTGGAACGCAATATGTGAACCATCGCTTTGATTTGTTTGATATGTTTGATTCATTTTGTATTTCGATTTAAACAAGACAACCCGAAAGAACTTTAATTTGAATTCACGCGTCACGTGGTACCAACAGGTAGGGATTGGAACCGTTTAACCGCTCCATAGTTCGTGTTGTCGTGGGCCGGAATTATAGCCAAATTAAACGGTTAGGCCACACCAAGTATGTTAAACAAGAAATTCGATTTACTAAGATTGGCCAATCAGAATGCACGATTTGGTGTAACGCAATATAACGTGATCAGTAATGTCAAAATTTTCACTTTCACGTGACAGCGTTTAAAAATCTTTAAGTTCGTTTAAGTTAGGGTTAGCGTTTATAATAGAGGAATTTTTTTTTGTTAAAGCGGTTTTTGAGAAATAAGCGATTTTCGAAAGGGAACGTTTTGCTTTGATCTTCCTGATCGTGTAACGTTACATTAAAACGAAACTCGCAATTGCGATTCTGGGGAAAAATTATCCCATGATTTGGTGTAACGTTCGTTTTGTCAAAAATCGCGCTTATTTCTCATAATAAATCACCGCCTGCGCATTAACAAAAGTTTTCCTTGCTTTTAGAACTTCTAAAATCCTATTCAAACATAGACCCTACCCTTAACTTAAAGAATTTTCGTCAATGTGCGTACACTTATTTCTGCTTCTATGTAGATAGGTGCAATCTTTGTGTAAATGTGAAATCGAAGGCTTTTTCAAAATATCGCCAATAACTCAAAGAAATCACCTTTGACGTTCTAACAAAAAAAATTCCTGGTAATCTCGAAATCTGATTGGCTATTGAATTTTTTTTAGACTGGCATTTTAAATACTGTTGTTCAGATTGGCCAAACTTGTGTTGTTCAGCCTAAATTATACACTTAATTTTGCCCGAAGTGGTATTGTTGCATCGCATTAAAAATTGCAAAAATATCGAACCTAAAAATAGAACATGTTACACAATTTATCAAAGTCACAATTTATACAGTTTAAAGTACTTTTTTAGAAAACTCAAGTAGTTCATCTTGCCTATAAAGAGTATCGGGTTTCTTGAAAACTTAAAGTTCTTGTGACAGTGCATAAGAATATTTAGTGAATTCATCTGAATCCAACAATTTTTATTATTGCCAACCATGTCTGAAAATAAGCTTTGCTTTAAATGTTCAGTGACTGAATCTTCTAGATTTCATTCATTAGAAGAGGCAACATAGAAAGAAGCAGTAAGTAAAAGTCTAATAAAAGAAAACTGAATAGAAAATATTGTCTTATGTAATGTTTGTTATATAAGTTTAGTTGTAAATCTCTTAAAAAGAGTTGTTAATCATTCAAATTATGCAAATAAGAAGATAGATATAGGTAAAATTAACAAAAAAATTAAACTTTCCAAAGTCATTAAAATTATAGCAAAATTTTTTTATAATAGGAAGCATTCAAAAAAAGAAAACACTATTTATTCATTTAAAGAAATATAAGAATTGTTAGAAGAGTATAATTCTAATCTTAATTATTTTTTTGAGCAACTTTACTTAGCAACTTGGTTATCTATACACATTGAACAAATGATAGATTATATGAAAAGAACAATGGTTTTTGTTTGTTATCTGCTTGCTTCTCTAAACAATACAAAGATTAACTTCTTTAAGTTTAATGTTACATATTATATAGATTTTGTTGAAACAAATAATGAAAGTTTGAATATATTGGCAAATTTTAGTATAATCATAATATCTAGAGCAATAAATAAATAAAAAAAAAGAATGTTTGATATATATGAAAAATATGCAGAAGATGTGCTTGTTCAATATTCAGAAAATGCACTCATGCTAAATATTAATAACTATTATAATATCCATATCTCACAACATCTTATTACTACAATTACTTTTATAACAACAAGTATGATAATGATTTTAGTAAATCTGTATTTAATATTAGCAATACCATCTTATAGAATAATTAATCTTACGCGGAGAACCAAGTTTATGTCGACCAGACTCAATGCACAGAGCAGGTCATAGCACTCTTTGCAGCCGTAAGAGCCGGGCATACGGTGAGCGAACCTACAGAAGAATCTTCTACTTCCTTGAATTCCATTTCATCATCAAACATCGA